CAAAAAAAAAAATGCTAATGTGTTGTTTATTTATTTTCTAATTCATTTTATTTCCTAGGTTGTCTATTTATTTATTTAGTTGTTTAGTTGTTTATTTTTTTATTATCTCATTATTCTTTGTTAGTTTAATTCATTATTTGTTAGTGTAGTTCGTTTTTATTTGTTTAACCATTCAATATTTACATAAAATGTTAATATGTCTAGTTTATTTTATTTTATTTTAGGTTTCATTTATTACAGACGCACAAAAATATATATATATATATATTTAATTGTTTATTATTTTTTTTGTTTTATTTTATTTTGATTATTATTTATTTTATTATCTCATTATTACTTGTTAGTTTAATTCATTACTTGTTAGTGTAGTTCGTTTTTATTTGTTTAGTCATTAGTTTTTAAATAAAATGTTAATTTGTCTAGTTTATTTTATTTAATTTTATTTTAGGTTTCATTTATTACAAAATAAATAAAGAAATAAAATAAAAAAAGAACAAGAAAAAGAAAAAGAATAATGATGAGAATTGCATGTGGTACATCAGTTGGCAGACTTGTACTTTAATATGTTACTTTATTCTCATGTTGGTTCCACGGGTATGTGTGTATGCTTTTGATGTGTGCAGGACATGAGTCGACGGATATCTACCCAGGCCTCCAAAAAGGCTAGAGATTCGTCCTCCTCGGCGCCACCGTGGCCACCATCACCACCATCCTCGCCACTACCACTAGTTGAGTTGCCACGACCGGAGTGGACTTCCCGGCCGTTTCACAAGCTTACACAGTTCAAACTCAACTATTTTCAAAATGATCCAGTCACCTCTTGGACCGTTAAGCAGCTCCGCCTCCGGTAATAGTTAGGCCTTTGCACTATTACAGCTCCCATTTATCCTTGTCTGGTACGACTCTTCTACCAGAACATGTACGAGTCACTCACTGAGGTAGGATTGTTGTCCACTATTGATGGCCACCTTGTCAACATTACAGAATCCATGATTGCCCAAGTGTTAAGGTTCTTTTCCAAGGCGGACCACCAGTCCTTCCCGGAAGTTGAGGGCCGACAACCCATACACAGCCTCATCTAAGAGTACTTCCCGAGGGCCCATGGTGGTGCAAGTTACACATGCTTGCACCGAAACAAGCTGCCTAGCCGCTTGTTATTCATTGACTCAATGATACATAAGAATGCCCTTCTACTTGGGCACAAAGCTGAGCATTGCATAGAGTTTGTTCGGGTCCTACATGGTTATCAACACGGATATCAGGTCCCGCTTGAGCACGTGATCTGGATGCATATACGAAAAATTTTGCAGGAGGCCGTTCAATCTCAACCTATGCAAAACCTGACTTGGCATTACCATTTGCCAACTTGCTCACACTTATCTTCAAGCCGAACGGCCTCCCAATTGATCCGACTGAGGAGATTGACACTGCTTATCTGACTTTCGAGTGGTGGGAATGGCAGCATAACTTATCCTACATCCCGCAACAAGTTAGTGCCCTGGTTGATGAGTCCCATGACCCCATGCCCGACCAACCATCACCTCCTGCGTCCTTTGTGCCACTCCAAGGCGACCCATTATACATGACTCGCGAGGAGTACTTACAGCTTCAGCACTATGGATCAGGTCCACAGTACTCTTCACAATCACCACCAGATCCTCATGGGGTTGCGCACGAATTTTCAAGCGCATCGGGACTATGTTCAGGCAGCTTTTGACCAGCTCAACGCCCGCCAACTCGACATTCAGCAGTCTGTTGCATCACTGCAAACTGACTTTTATACATATCGAAAGTCCAGCCAACAACATTTTGACCAACTCAGCACTCAAGTTCAGGACTAAGCATTTGAGACGCAGTCATTGATGAATGCCTTGTTTGCATAGTATTTCCCCTCATCGCCACCACCGGATTCTCCATAGTACCAGATTATCTTTCTCTCTGTCTCTTTTATTTTGTATTTTCCTTTTAGTTGTTTCTCTTTCAAAAAATAAAAGTGTGTGTGTGTTACTATTTGCCTACCTGGATGTGCGCCTACAATCTCTAGTAATATTCTCTCTTGCCTATTTACTTAGCATTTGCTTCCATTGAAGACAATGTCATATTCAAGCTGGGGGATGAGGGTATTTTCTTTTGTGCATTTCTATTTGGCTCATAATTCATACTTATACCTACTTCACTTGATGTCGACTTGTTGCCAATAGGATGATGATATTTGCATATGTTAATTGGGGAGCATAGTAGACTTGCATGAAAAACGGTTTATTGTGTAAACACTTACATGTAATGTTTGCACTAGGATAGTTGTTTGTGATTGTGGTATTAGTACACATCATGAGTATGCCTTGATTTATATGAATATACTATCATAGCGGTGACCTCTTTGTTATAATCCTTGGTGTACATCATTGATAATTGCTAATGTTGCTGAAAAGAATAAATGACTAGCCTTGATTCTCCAAAAAAAAAAATTTAAAATTTAAAAAAATTAAAAAAAAAAAAAACAAACACGTGACTTGTTTGGATTCGTAGCCTCTTTAACTCGAGTTATTAAGCCCGTAGGGGTGTCTTCACATCTAGTGCCCTAAAACCGTCTAGTTTGGGAGTCATTGGCCCAATACTTGCTACATGGGTTGATTAGAAAGTTTAAGGGACCTAGACGTTACATGGTCAAGAAAAAATAAGAAAAATGACTTGTTCGAATTCGTAGCATTTTCAGCTCGAGTTATTAAACCCGTAGGGGTGTCTTCATACTTAGTGCCCTAAAACCGTCTGGTTTGAGAATCATTTGTCCAATGCTTGTTACATGGGTTGATTAGAAAGCTTAATGGATCAGAACATTAGTTACAAAAGATTAATCTTGTTTGTATAAGTTGGGGGTTATTATGAGTTACACTGAGCTATTATAGTGGTCAGTTAACTAATATGGAGATTGCACGTTACACCGAGGTCACTAATGATGTGTTCTACTAGCATTCACAAGTACATAGAACTTGATTTGTGTAATACTGAATTACGGTCTCTATTCAATAGATTCCTTCATGCTTGTCTACTGTGCCTTCAATGACTCATCATGTCTTAATATTGCACGGTAGTGGCTTATAAGTTAATTCTTGAGTGGTGTAGTATGATCAATTGTTGCTGGATAGATGTGAATATGTTAATGTTTGTGGATATCATTTCTGGAAACCCTCACGAGGCTTTACTCGTCCACTTGGGGTAACTTTGTGGTTTAAAGGCTTGTTGCATATGCTAAATACAACCGTTCTTCTCACGAAAGAGGAGATAGTTAGATTTTGTTTAAGTTTATTTTTCTTTATTTGTTTTTTCTTGCATGAAGACTAGCAAGTTGTAAGTTGAGGGATGTGATTAAGGATGAATTGTGCAACACTAAGGTTGTTAATTAGGATTTCATAACTTTACTTGCTTGACAAACTATACATTTTATGCCTGTTTAATGTCAATAAGGTTTGTACATAGTGGGAGCATAAAATGAGAAGAAAATTGCTTCTCACACGTACGAAGGCCCATTCCCATACGTGCAGCCTTTACCTCACAGCCAAACAAAGCCTTAGCTTCCCGCACGTGCAGAGGGTTTTTCCTGCACGTGTGACACCCCTTCAAGGACATGCGGTGACCACTCCCGCACTTGCGGTCATGCCTCGAAAATTATGCCGTTGTTCTAAACCTGTTTGGAAGACAGCAGAGGTATAAAAAGACAGAAAATAGGCTAGAATAGGGTTTTCAAAAATTCCAAGAGAGAGAGGAACAAGTCGTTTTGCTACCCTAGTTTAGAGTGAACGACTCGTACTACTTTAGATGGTTCGTGCCTATACATTGAACGTGATAACTCTTTTGATAAATGCTTTGAACTTGTAGTTGCGAAGTATTATTTAGTTCGAACAATAGCATAATTGATTTCAAATTGAAACCTTATTTACGTAACTAGTGGTGAACTCATTGCCATCAGTTTTTCCCTAAATCAGTAAATTCATATTTATTTATAATTGCTAGTTTATTCATTTTGTTTAATTTAATTATTATTAGGTTATGAACAATCAATCTTTTTATCAAAATTAATTTAGGAATTTAACAATTAAATTAGTTTTATTTCCCGTTTGTCCCTGTGGATCAATTCCTGGACTTGTTATTATTCTAAAAAATTTGGTATAGTTTAGTGTTTATTTTTGGTGTATGAAACGACCCATCAACGGGCATACACTCTTGACTTCTTGTTTGGGTGTTTTAGCTCGAGATGGGAACCTTACGCCCCTTACTTATAGAACTTGGAGCCGTGTACCGAAGGAAAATAAAGAGAGAATTTTGAGAGAAGTAAAGGTAAAAGGATACTTGTTGCTATTGTTTTGTGAGAAGTGGGTTATGCTTCCTATTAACTATAACGAATATTTGATTGTTCTTTCTCAGATATTTAGCCTTTTTTTGTTTCTCCGTAGTTTGAGTTGGTTCTAAAAATTTATTGTTTGATGGTTTATAGGTATTTCATTTGAATTAATTTTGGATGGAAACCAATTGAGAGAATATGCTCTTAATTCCATATTTCTTTAATTGGTGATATCAGAGATTCAGTTTGCTAAGTGTTTGAAAGAGAGACACAGAGAGCTAATTTGATATGTTTTAACTGTGTTTTGGATCAACAATTTGAGGAGTGATTTATGTATGAAAAGGAGAAAAGAAGGGAAAAGTGAATGAAATTGAAGTGCTCTTAAGTTTAGATTTTATGATGACTGAGACTTACAGTCAGCTGAGTGCAAGAGATTTAGTTTGCCAAGTGTTTAAGAGAGAGAGAGAGAGAGAGACCTTATTTGACAAGAGATAAAATTTAGTTTATTATATTTGTTTTGGCATCTGTTGCAGGTTAATACAAATGCTAACGAGTCGATAAAGAAATTTGTTTTGACATTTGTTGGGAAAAAAAATGGTGAGAGTGGAAGGCTAGAGTTTAAAAAATGGGGTATATGCCATTCGACAGTGATGCTAATAGGTAACTCATCGACCCGAAAGAGTACATGAGCATCAATGGAGGAGCTTAGTCTATTATTGGGGCACTCGGAAGGCACAAGTATCATTTAATGTTGCTAGTTTAATTGGTGGCTACTGCTGTTAAAGATACTTTTACATGGGTTTATTGAATTCTATTGTAATCTCATAAGATGAGTTTGTTAATTAATAAATTATCTTGTGTTTGTGTTCATATGTAATAGAAAAAAAGTACAAAAAACAAAGAAATTCGGAAGAAGAAGACATTAAATCACATAACCGGCAGAAAACCATTCTCGGTTGTTCGAGTAGAGGTGTATAGTTTCTTTATATTTCAAATTGAAATTGTATATTTTGATTTTGATAATTAATTTTAATTGTAATTATAGGAAACGAATAAGAAGAATGGAGTTCCTGCAACTCGTTTAGAGGTGTGGATGGCTGGGTACTGAAAGGATAACAAACCAAGTACTGATAAAGTTGCTGAGGTCATGGTATGTAGCTTGGTTGCTTCTCTCTCTCTCTCTCTCTCTCTCACAGCTATGGCTCATCATCATATACTTTGCAGCACCATTATTGTATACTTTGCAGCTATGATTGTTTTCATGATACTCTTAGCAATTCTGTTAATATAAATTTTATCGGTTGCTAATTAACTAATTAACAATTGCAGACACAAATGAAGAAGCTTGGGGCACAATCCAATGCTATAGATAAAGATATTATCACACAAGTTCTAGGGCTTGAGCGACCTGGTCGTGTTCGAACATATGGATTGGGTCCTTCTCTGACAGATGTCTTTCGAGGTGAATATAGGCAATCACAATAACAAACTCATATCATCCAAACATAAGTCCAATAGCAACTTGACCATTATAAAGCACAAATGGAGATGCAAATGAAGGAGATTATGGATGCTATGCATAATCAACAGAAAGTACAAATGGAGATGCAAAGCACAATCCAAGCTCAACAAGCACGAATAGAGCAATTGGAGTCTATAGGCCATGGGTGGGCCTGTTGCACCAGCTGCTACACATGTGTATTCACAACAACAATCCGATGCATACACCTCATCGTTTAATTGCCATCGTTCGTCCGAGGAAGTGAGTAAATAGTTAATTATGAAAATTTCAATATAACATTTTATTCATGTGATTATTCTTATCAAATGCAAGTTCACATATCAAAGAAATGAAAGAATAAGAAGAAGTAGATGGGACAAATTCAATGAAAGAAGGCCGTTGGACTTTGTTAGGAGTGACCTTCTCCAACAGTGTCCCTACCACCAAGTGCCTGATTGGCAACTTGTTCAAACCTTTTACTATGGCTTAACTAAGCCTCACCGCCAAATGGTAGATTCTTCTTGTGGTGGTACATTCATGTCAAAAAATGACGCCGAGGCATGGCAACTATTTGAGAACTTAAGTGATAATTCCCTTCACCATGCCTCCACAGCCTGGCAAGTCCGGTAGCCAGTAGTTGGAGCCCCGAAAAGAGGGGGCATTTATGAGCTAGGGCAAAACCTAAAGTTAGCCCAACAAGTAGAGGCATTGTCCCACAAAATGGACCAATTATTAGCTACAGGACATGCCCTTACAAAGCAAGATCAGCCTCAATTTCATGAGGCATGTGCTATTTGTGCGAGCCCTGTTCATGACTTGAGTGAGTGCCCTTCGGCATGACAATTTCCGGAATTAGTCCAAGAGCATGTGAATGCGGCTCAAGGATTCTCCAACCCGGGTAATAACCCATATTTCAATACATATAATCCGAGATGGAGAAATCATCCTAATTTTTCATGGAGACCTCCTTCACAAGGCACTTCTTACAATTCTCCACCACCAATGCAGAATTTTAATAATTTTGCCAACCAATCTTCTTACCGACAACCACAACCCTCGCATGTTCCTCAAGGCAACTCGGCCTTTGAAGCTCAAGTTAGAAGTTCTCTCGGAACTTAAGGGGTTAGTACCAGTAGTTCACTCCCATACTCACTCCATTGCCAAGCTAGAGGCCCAATTGGGTCAAATGGCTAATAACATGGATAAGAGAGGGGAGGGAAAATTACCGAGTCAGACTGTGGCCAACCCTAAAGGTCAATATGCGGCAGAGGGTTGAGGTGGGAATGGAAAGCACCATGAGCAGGTGCAAACGGTGATTACCTTGAAAAGTGGCAGGGAGTCAGAGCCTCAGCCAATTGCGTCTGATGCAACTAAGGCTAAGATGAGTGATCACAGTGGTCAACCCAAAGAGAGCAAGGGTGAGGGAGAGACACCCAAGGGGGATGACTTAGTCCCTAGCACTTCACATGAGCCTAAGGCATCATATGTGCCTAAGAAACCCTTTCCCCAATGCCTTGATTCACCGTCCCCTTTTAATAAGAAGGCGGCATCCATGGAAACAATGATGGAGGTGTTTAAACAAGGTAAAATCAACCTCCCCCTGTTGGAGGCGATTAAGCAAGTACCCTCTTATGCTAAATTTCTGAAGGACCTTTGTACGCAAAAGCTTAAATCTAGGACACACGTGTCCCAAAAGGTCGTACTCACGGAATAAGTAAGTTACATTTTATTGAGTGACACACCCCCTAAGCTTAAAGACTCGGGTGCCCCAACCATTGCATGCATTATAGGGGATCATTTCATTGATAGGGCCTTTTTAGATTTAGGGGCTAGTGTCAATTTGTTATCGTACTCTATGTATGAGGAATTCGGGCTTGGCGAGTTGAAGCCCACTACTGTTACTCTCTAGTTGGCTGACTGATCCCTCAAAGTGCCACGTGGCATGACTAAGGATGTGCTAGTAAAGGTCGATAGGTTTTATTTTCCTGTTGACTTTTTGGTTTTAGATATAGAACTGGTAGCCAGCTTTAGGAAACAAATCCCGATGATCTTAGGTCAACCTTTCTTGGCTACGGCCAATGCATGTATTAATTGTCGTGTCGGAGTTATGGAAATTTCATTTGGGAATATGCAAGTGAAACTCAATGTTTCATTTGTGGATGTTGTGGATGGGATTGTGGAGGAGGTTTTACCCTCCATTCTTGTGAGGACCCTCTAGAGCTTGTCTAGCTCATTTTGGGTTCAAGGATTTTGATATTGACGAATCAGTTGAGGAGGTGAATGCCTTACTTAATTCTTCTTCTACACCGGATTTTCCTCCATGGAAAGCCCAATTTGAGTCCCTTCTTCCTCTGTCTAGAAAGCCTGCCATACCATCCCTAGTCACAACACCTACACTTGAGTTGAAGCCACTCCCGACTACACTCAAGTATACATTTTTAGGGCCTCAGGATACTTTACAATCATAATTGCATCTGACTTGACTGCCGAGCAGGAGAGTCAATTAATGAGTGTTCTCGTGACACATCAGAGTGCTATAGGGTGGTCAGTGGCTGATTTAAGAGGGATAGATCCCTCTGTGTGCATGCATTATATACATCTAAAGGACACCAAACCTTCTCGTAAAATGTAACGGAGGCTTAATCCCAATATGAAAGAGGTGGTGAAAAATTAGGTGTTAAAATTGTTTGATGTGGGTATTGTATACCCCATCTTGGATAACAAGTGGGTGAGTCCCACACAAGTGGATCCCAAGAAATCGAGCATCATTATTGTTGAGAATGAGCAAGGAGAGTTGGTCCCCACACGAACAACTACTAGGTGGTGAGTGTGCATTGATTATAGGAGACTAAATTCCATGACTAGAAAAGACCATTTTCCATTGCCATGTATTGATCAAATTCTTGAAAGGTTGGTAGGGCAGGGTTTTTATTGTTTTCTTGATGGATACTCGGGGTATAATCAAGTCCCGGTGTACCCCACTGACTAGGAAAAGACCACTTTCACATATCCTTTTGGCACTTTTACGTATAGGAGCATGCCTTTGGGGCTATGTAATGCACCGGCGACTTTTCAATGGTGTATGGTGGAGAAATTTTTAGAGGTTTTCATGGATGACTTCTCCGTGTTTGGACCGTCTTTTGAGGAATGCCTAGGAAACTTGACTAGAGTATTGGCACAATGTACTGAGGCAAACCTGATTTTGAGTTGGGAGAAGAGCCATTTTATGGTTCGCGAGGGTATAGTGTTGAGACACATTGTGTCCTCTCGAGGTATAAAGGTTAACAAAGCTAAGGTTAACCTCATTGCAGGCCTTCCCCCACCCAATTCTATACGTCAAGTTAGGTCTTTCCTAGGACACGCAAGTTTTTACCGTTGATTCGTCAAAGATTTTAGTAAAATATCTCATCCTTTGTGTAGTTTACTTGCCAAGAACACACCTTTTGTTTTTGATGAGGCATGTCTTAAAGCCTTTGAAACATTGCGAGCGGCCCTTACCACCGCCCCAATCATGAAATTACCAGATTGGTCGCTCCCATTTGAGATCATGTGCGATACATCTGATTATGCCATCGGTGCCGTGTTCAGCCAAAGGGTGAATAAAGTACCCCATGTTATATCCTATGCTACTCCTACTCTTTTTGATGCTCAATTAAACTACACTACCACTGAGAAAAAGTTACTAGCTGTTGTCTTTGCACTTGATAAGTTCCGATCCTACCTCCTAGGGTCTAAAGTCATTGTGTTCACGGACCATGCTATTTTGCGGTACTTATTGTCCAAAAAAGAGACTAAACCTAGGTTAATTAGGTGGATTCTACTCCTTCAGAAGTTTGACCTAGAAATCTAGGACAAGAAGGGATCCAAGAATGTAGTTGTAGATCATCTATCCCGCATCTTTATTGAGCACACGAGTGATCCCTTAGCCTTGCACGACTCATTTTCGGACGAGCAACTTCTTACGGTTTCACGCGTGACCCTCTCGTGGTTTGCTCATATAGTGAATTACTTGGCAGTTGGCCAAATTTCTCAAACTTGGTTTAAGCAAGACAAAGACCGATTTTTCTCACCAGTCAAGCATTATTTTTGAGAAGACCCGGAATTGTTCAAGTATTGTCCGGATCAAGTGATTCGGCGTTGTGTGCCTAAGAGTGAAACCCATAGCATTCTCACATTTTGTCACTCATGCATGTAGCAGCCATTTCAGTGGGCAGAAAACAACCGCCAAAGTTTTATAATGTGGGTTTTACTGGCCCTCTATCTTCAAAGATGCCCATAACTTTTGTAGAGCTTATGAGTGTCGTCAACTCATAGGCGCTATGTCACGGCGAGATATGATGTCGATGACCCCCATTCTAATTGTTGAGATTTTTGATGTTTGGGGCATCGACTTTATGAGTCCCTTTCCGCCATCTTTTGGATTTTAATACATTTTGGTGGCTATGGACTATGTCTCCAAGTGGGTGGAG